AGGGAAAATCGGCTTACCATTGATGGACATCAAGCCTCTTTGCCGACTCACCCACACAGCCACACCCCAGTGCCTTTCCGCCGGAGACATCAGTCGGTAAAACCTTCGACTAGAGCATTGTCCTTCACTGCTCTTTGTCTCCTGCAGGAACGCCACATTATAGCCGTAGAAGTCGAACTGTTCTTCCATGTAACGATGTGCACTGCCCAGTCCTTGCACATTGAAAGAACACGCCGACATCACAAACTCACTGCCAGCAGCCTCGATCAGGCCATCATCCTCAGCAACAGTAGGCACCAATTGCTGTGGAGAAAGGCGGAAAGTAGTTGCATACTGCTCCGGCCACCACATACAATTCGCTTCCATCCAAGAAGACCCCGTCCTTCTGGCTGCCATATCGAAGGAGATCCACTCGAGGTTGGCATTCAGAAAGGTCCGAATGGTGTGGCTGGGGGGGCTGAAAGGGAGACTTTCCCCTTTGGCTGCGCTCTTGGCAACCGCGTCCGCAACTTCATTCCAGCCGTGGCCCGCGTGGGCTTTGATGTGTTGAATCAGAAGCGTGACACCCTCGCACTCACGGAGGATCAGCTCCAAACTGTGGCTTCGCTGGGCCAGCTCATTAGGCGGGGCCCACTGTCCTGTCGCTGCTCTACCCGCAGCAACACAGTCGACAAACATCAGTGCCTCGATCCGAGGGATGAAGCATCGCAGCTGTAGGAGCCATAGTAGGGCGGCCGCGACAGCGACCTGTTCAGCGTGTAAGGCCGCAGGCTGCTCTAGCGACCAGGCACAGCATTCTGCTCCTTCCAGGGGGCCACCAAGAATGCCAAAGAGGGCACATGCAGCACCAATTTTCATCAGCAGAATCACCGCATACCCACTACGGCTCTTACGCTACGCTCACAAGCCGAGCCGTCAGTATAGATGTGTATCTGCACCGGCTCCCCAGCTGCATTCTTCATAAGGTCAGGCCAGGGAGCGGCTGCCCTCACCACCTCCTTTGCTGCAGCATTCATGTTCACATGATCCAACGACCACTTCAGCCATTCTCCGGGCCAGGGACCACACAATCCCCACAGGTCATCATCTGTGTGAGGAAGACGGAGCTTGGTCGTGGTGAGGTCGAAAGCGGCACTGGGCATCTTGTCTTCCAGGCAAAGAACCCCAACCAGATCTGACTGTTCTCTTCGACCTCTTGGCGATCTGCTGCGGGGGCGATTCACCGGCATAGGTGGAGGTGGCCCTTGAGGAGGAGCATTTGGAGGTAGAGGGCTGGGTGTTGAGAGGTCGCTGGAGTCAGGCAGCGCATCCTCAGTATCACTGGAATCATCTTCTTCGTCCGAGTTCGGTTCTTCTCGCATAGAGACGTCCGACTCAGAGGGTGGGAGCAGGTACATCTCGAGCACTTCTCCTGTATGAACACGCAGGGCATCAGTGCTCTCCGCCGGCTCCCCACCCTTTACCATAACCCTTTACCATAAGCTGCCACCCTTCTGGAGCCCCGACTTGTAGGCCCTCAACATAGGTCGTTGGGCAGAAGCGATCACCTTCAATCTGGGCCCACTGGGGAAAATGAGCCAAGCCACGGAGGTTCAAGAAGATCACAATGGACTCTGGTGCCATCTGCTCCACACCATCCAAGACAGCCAATTGTCCCCAGATCCTCCGGCCCAGATGAGACAGGTGGAGGATGTGGTCCTCAGGGGAAACTATCCAGACTTCGCCATGCTCATAGTTCAAGGCTTCCTCCGCTGACACCTCCAGTGTCCTTTCATCGTCAAAAGCAATCTCCTCAACAACCTGGTCGTCTGCTGACTGGTAAACAGTGTGGAGGCCTGCTACTGGGTCCGGTAGGGCAGCTGTAGGATTCCATCTCCTAGGCTCCGCAAGTCGTTGGTCCAGTTCGTCCATCCACATGGGGCTCATTCCAGCCCTCACTATCTTTATAACTCCACCTTGCACCCTTGGGTAGCTGTGGCCGCTTCGCATTCGCCTGTCACTGCCAAAGGCATAGGCAGCCAAGCCCTCGGGCTGCTCCAAAACCAAGCACATGAAGACATTCTCCTTAGTGATCGCACCGTTGATATAGGCAGTGAAGGTGCCACCCTCAATGGCACTACAGTCAATGATGACCGCCGTTTTGTCACTCTCCCGAATCCAAGGGGGTATCGCCACAAAGCTGGCATAGTCTCGTCCCACTTGCGGCGTGGTGTGAATATACTCCGTGGCATAGTCAGGCATCACAGAGCAGGAGTCTTTCAGGGCCTGTCCAAGCCTGGTAGCCGAAGTTGGGAGCGATGTCAACGATTTCAGCCTAAAGAACGGCGAAACGACCCAAAGGGTGACATGCACATCCGCAACCGCGGCAGCCTCCACATCAGGTTGTGGTTCAGCAACTGGGATTGCATAGCGAGGAGATGGTGCTGCCCGGCTGTTGTGCTCCAAAGGCATCTGAGCAACCCATCTAGCCTCAGCTTCCGCCATCTGCTCCCTTGCCGTCCTTTGGCCTGCCAACCAAAGCCCGATATCCATTCCACTAGGGGACACACGTCCGGACAGGCTGAGAGCAGGTGGGCACTGCTTCAACCGGCACTTGCAGGAAGGCAAGGCCCAAAACCATGCAGATCCTCCCCGAGATCAAAGAGAAAGGCGACCTCCTTCTTGCAAACCGTAGGCTCCGAAACATGAAGACCGCGAGGGCCGCGAGTTGAATGCTGAACAACCCCAACCCAAACGCCACAAACGCAGGTTGTTGGTAGGCTGCCCATGAAGCAAAGTACCCAATGAACTCCTCATACATGATGTCAAGAGCATCCAAAACATCGAAAACCTTCACGGAGTAACTTCGGACGTGGCCTCCCGTAGGGCCGTGCCGAGCACCTGTACTCCGAGGACCGTCATTCTGCTCCACCTCGACTGTATCACTGGCAACACCCACATCCACATGGGAGCCACCCTCATAGATGATCATAGAACCATTGCCTTCAGGGCCAGCACGCCTCAAAGCAAAATCGTGACACAACATCGGCAAAGGCCGCCCGTGTGTTTCATATCTTCTGGAGCACCCTAGCTGGGCCCCGGCCATAGCAGCAGTAGACGGACCGGAAAAGCCACTGCTGCGCGTTGGGGGGGTCCCACCAACACGGACTACTCCTCTTGAAGCTCGTTGGGAGGCTTCAGATCCGCGATCAGGTCCTCCTCGCTCTCGACGTCCAAATCCACGGCTTCTTGCACACCTTCCTTCATAGCCGAAGCCCGGCGCTCCTCGAGCTTGTCTGCAAGTACACTCGGCTTGGTGGCCTTGACCGGGCCGTGGGTGTGCTGCTTGATGGGCACCCGTGGAGCTCCACTCTGAGATCGCGATCTGGTCCTCATGGCTGGCAACGGGGCTCCTGCACGGCTCGGTGACGTCAGGTAGGGGTCCATGGCAGCAGGGGGCGAGCCCGTGCTGTAAGAACCCTCCTCCCCAAACGAAGGACTCGGTGGCAAATCCTTGCCTGGAGGGGAGATCGGCGGAGGTTGGTGTGGTCGGCGCGGGGGAGTCTTCACTGTCTTGTCTGGAGCTGACAAACCCAGAACTCCCAGTAGTTGCTGCCGTGCCGCCTGCGGGAGGCCACCTGACACCTGAGCCCCAGCAATCAGGTCTGGGAGTGCCGCCCATGGATCCTCCGCACCAGACATCAGCTCGTCCCATTCCGCCTCTGCATCCGCATCTCCAGCAGCAGCAGAGTTGGGAGGGTGCACAGCTCCAGCTGGATCGATGATCAGGGCTCGAAGGGCTTTGATGGCCTCCTCCTTCATCCGGGCACATTCCTCTCGCTCCTCTTGAACCCGATTCACTCTGTCCTTGTATCGCTGCCGTTCCTTCATAAAGGACTGTTGCAGGCTTGCACGATAACCTGTCCACTGGGTTTCCGCCTCTTGCTGGTCCATGTCGCACCGCCGTAGTTTCCCATCTGCCTTCCTCAGGGCATTGACCATCTTCTGGACATACTTGGCCAGGCCGCCGGTGTGATCGGGCAGGGCATTCTCGTCGTCCTCTCGTAGTTGTGAGCTGGCTTGTCCTTGCCAGCTTTGCCTCCCTTGCCTTGCTTCACCGGCACCATCTCGTAGGAAGGAAAGCTGCTTGAGGGCTGTTCCTGGCCTTGGTCCTTGCCAGCCTTGCGGCCCTTGCCCTTCGAATTCCACTCCGTCCAGTCCTTGTGACCACGGTAGTGACCATAGTAGGGCTGCTGTCCAGAACCATAGCCTTGCTCTTTCCATTCCGATGGCTGCCCGCCTCTCTTGCCCATGGGGTGCCTGAGCTCCTTGTAAGCAGGGGCGCTATGGTGCTTGGAGAGGTAAACCAGGTCCGAGTGGGACGGCTCGCAACCTCGCGAGCGAGCTAGATGTACTCTAGCTCGGGCAGTTGCACGCTTCCGGCGTGCTCTCCTGTGCCAGCAAGGCGACTTCCTCAGAAGTCCTATGGCTCGAAAGTGCTCGTAGCACCAGGGGTCAGGCAATGCGACTCTCAAAGACGCTCGATCCGAAACCCTGCATGTGCATGTGTGTATATATATATATATATACCGATGTATGTTTAAGTGTATGTAGACGTTTAAGTATATGTAGATGCCTCTGTTGTAGATAGATGTACATTATGTCATGTCATGTTATGTGTTGTTGTGTTATGCCACGTCATGTTGACGATGTTATGAGGTGCCGTTGTGCATGTTATGCATGCTTTCTACGCAGTGCATGTTGTGTATGTTATGCATGCATGTATGTGCCTCTGTGCACATGTCTTTATGTGTGTAGATAGACACAGGCACGCAACAGTCGGGAGCGATTTTGCGCTCGAGTTCGCGCACCGCGTGGACACGCTAGCCAAGTCTGTTAGCATCTAACGTACCGACCCCACAGTTTACACCACACGGTTTGGGGAACTTATTTGCATGACCGACCGATACATGGAAAATAGATCGTGCATCGTGCAGATATTGACTTTCACGTGTGCTCAGGGCCAGGATTGCCTGGACAAGGTCATTCTGCAGCGCGCAGCACCTGCGAATGATTGTGTCGTAAACGACCCTCGAGGATGTGCTGCTCAAAAAGATGGTTGGCTGAGGTAGGCGAGGGGTTAAAGGGGACTAGGACTATGCAAGTGGCAGCCGACAGGAGATTGTCAGCCCATCGACTCAGAGAATCCTGGGCGTTGGTACCTTCCTCCTCGCGGGGCGAATCCGCCTGCAGGGGCCTCCTGGGCCTCCGGCCTCCCGTCTGTGACCGAGGCCCGCCGCCCCCTTCTGCGCACGCGTGTGGATGCCTGACTGAGTATTCGAAGGTCCACACCATGAAGTATGTCATTCCCGCAGACTTCTCTTGCCAGAAGTGTACGTTGCAGTGGTACTATGCTACTGCCAACAGCTGTCTTCCTGACAACTCCTACAGGAATTTCGAAGGTTGCGAGCCGTGATGCAGAGCCATCGTCTTGTTTGTAGCCGAGACTCGTCCCGAAACGAAGGACATACTTCAACGGACTCCAGAGCTTGGGCTGGAACTCTGCCAGTCAGCCACCGAGTCTCTGTGTCTGAGTGTCGGTCGTGGGCCGTGCTGACATGCCGAGGCTGGAGTGCATGGGCTGTTGCGAGCTGGGCGACTTGTGACGCTGCCTGCTGTGGCCCCGAAGGGCGAGGAACCTTCGGCGAGGAGTTCTGGAATTGTGCCGACATCGCATCTTGGATGAAGCATCCAGCAAGGCCTCGAGGCTCAGGACCGCTTCTTCTTTCTCACGCTGCAGAGGTAGTCCTGGAAGGGAACGGGCCTGTTCCGTCGACATCTCCTTCGCCTTCTCCATCCCCTGTGTCAACTAGTCAGGTCGCTGTGACAACAAAAGTTTGCGAGCGAAACCGGAAGCATGCCTTTGTCCACATTCATCCTTTCCTCTTTTTACCCTGGCAGGTTGCGACCACGACCACAACCATTCCCACTGGACCATGCTCAGCAGTATATGAACAATGCGGTGGCAACAACCACAACGGTCCAAAGTGCTGTCAATCAGGTTCGGTTCCAGGGTTGAAATTGGACTTCGTATTCAATGTTGCGTGAGTTGTTCTCAGCCTTGCAGGCTCATATTGCAAGTTTTCAAACGAGTGGTACTCGCAGTGCCTCCCTGGTACGGATCCCACGCCTCCAACGCCGACCCCTACTCCACCAACACCAGTGACGACAGCAGCACCAGTCACGACGTCCGTTGTCGCTCTGCAGCACTCTGTGAGACTTCGTCAGTCGCGCGACATCAAGGGTTGCAGCGGTTGATGTGAGCTGTGGAGGTCACGACAAGCAGACCTAGCCAGTGCTCCTGTGCGTCCAGTACCTCCTGGGAAGGATACTGGGAGTCTAAGTTGTAGGCCGCGCAATGCGTTGTAGGCCTCTCTTGGCTCTGTGACGCAGGATCCTTTGATCAGTTTGCTGCTTCTCTTGGAGGTGCCGGCCTGAGGGCATCTGATCTTTCCGTCCCAGACTAGCTAGGGAAGGAATGTCTTGCCATTTTGCAGGTATGTGCAGCTGCTTGCTTGCATTACGTGCTGCCTTGCTGCGGTGTGTCCACTGGCAGGAAATACTGATTTCTGTGGCCAGAACTTCGGCGGTTCTGGGCCATATATTTCCGCAGGAGGTGGCTCTGATGGCGGCGGTGGCTGGAGTGGGAACGCACCCTGTGTGTCTGGACAGTACAGCTTCAGCAGCTCCGATTGAATTTGAGTTATGCCCGGCTGTTGCAAGGCTTACCATGGTTGAGGGGGAAGCCAAGGCGAAGATGGCTGGAAGATCACTGCTTCTGCCAGTCAAGCCGCAGGCAAGGTGCCGTACCGGGCCTTCACCTACTTGAACTTCTGCGGTGGCAGCGCATACGGGAGCTGCTGGTCCAGTGCTGTCAACGTGTTCTCGTTCGCCTTTAAGACATCTGGAGCAAGGCACGCGGGATTTGGGTTCACAGATGACCCTGCCCTTCGCCGAGCACAAAGCTTCGCCCGCCGAAACCCAGGTTGCTGCACTGCTGCATAAGGACGCATCCAGCATCCAGACACCCCAAAGCTCCAAAAACGCAGTTTCGGTTCCATGCCGCGATCAGTTTCCGGCCCCGTGTCCAGCCCGCTCATTAGGTGATGGCGGCTGATCATATTCTGTGTAAACGGCTCCACATCAGCCATCGCGTGTTGATCACACCATTTAAAACCGTCCCTTCTTGTGGCGCGGCGGTTGATCACGCCGCTCAAACCCGCCCCTCATTAGGCGATGGCAGTGGATCACATTTTTTGACCAGCCCCCTCATTAGGCGAGGAGGCCAAAAGAATGGCCAATTTATGATCCACCGCCAGGGCTTAATGAGGGCTGAGGACAAAGGCGATGAAACGCTGTCGTTTGAGGAGGTGGGGTTAAGAAATGTGATCGACTGCCATCGTTTGATGAATGGGAGGGCTTAAGAATTGGGATCAGCTGCCATCGTCATCGTCGTCGTCGTCATCTTCGGTGGCGTGGCGGCCATGTTACCGGCCTGTAGTTGCATTTTTGTCGCATGTGTGTTTCGGCTTCTTTGTGCCTGTCGTCGTCCTCGTTGTGCGTATTTGCTGTCTTCATCGTTTTGTTGCTCAATGTTTCCGAGTTTTCTGTGGTTTTCAATCAGCGGCTTGCTCCCGTTGAGCCAAACCCTCTGGCCCCGAGATGGACCGAGTTTGTTCCGAGACTGAGACCCCCGCACTCAATCTACGAACCTAGGCCCCAGGATTGAAGCCCCTTTGACAGGGACATGGGTGCTTTCGTGAAGCTCTTCTTCTGGACGGATGCTGGGAACATCCTGGGCCTGGTGCCCCCCGGGCACAGCAAAGGCCTTTGGGTAAGTTTCTCTATGTTTCTCCTCCGGCCCCATCTCTTTCACGTTTTTCGGGTTGGCTCAGGGACCATAGGGCTCCGCTCACGTAAAAGTTCTTGTAGTAGCACTGAAGTATTGGGCTTGGGGGCAGCACTAGCTGACTAGCTTGTGGGTACTGTCGCAGTCCCCAGTGCGAACAGCGGATTCTTCACACCGGTGTGCTCCATTTCCTTCTCACCTTCATCTGTGGTTTGTGCTACTCAAGCGCATCCTCTTTTGCATTTTTATCTCCATGCCAAGATAGCTGGCACAGAGGGGCGGGAATAGAGCATTCAGACACTGCAGGAGTCATCGAGCTACTAACTTGAAGCGACGAGCTTGAAGTGTGAGAGGGGTGGAGTACTTAATGCAACTTGCTGACCTGCGACATTACGCAAAGAGGAGACGGTTGAACACGGTGTGTCCACCCGCTGGCTTCGATATTGTAGAACGTGAGGCTCGGAGGTGCCAAGCCGAGCCAGACCTCCCAAGGGTCACATGTGCAGAGATGTCGAACTGTCCCGGCGCATTTCCTGCGGTGAAGCTTCGCATGGCGCCGAACAGACATACAGTTACAGGTGAGCAGAAACTGTGCAGCTAAGTCGCAGAAACGGTGTAGGTCTTAGAATTGCGTTTCCTCGTCCGTCTGTCAACGTCGGTTTGTCGTCTCTGTGGCTTGGGTGTGGTCTTCTTCCCATTCATAGGCGCTGGCAAGCTTCGCCTCGTCTCCTTCATGTCCGACGACTACCCGAACAACTGGCAGGACGAAGTGGAGGTGGAGGATGGCGTCTGGTACCATGTCACGGCTTCCCATCGAGCGAGAACTTAGAACGCGGAATCGCCACAGCAATCGTAGTGTTCCCAGGTTACCTTCGAGCCTGCGACCAGGGCCGTCGAGTTGAAGCTGCAGGTGCGGGACTGCTACAAACTAGCGATAATGCCGACATTTGAAACCGGGAGGGTTCCGACTTCAGCAGTGGGACCATCCCTGTGGACATGCTTGCGGTCTCGAACGGGCCCCAGCTGGGTATCTACTCCTTCGACTACTCTGGATCATGGCCAAGCGTCTTGTCCGTACGTCGGAAGCTTTTGCTGAGTTCGCATCTTCTCGTCACAATGTGCTTAATTACATCGTTTAGGCTTCTTGCAGTCGTCTTTCAAGCTGTTGGTCTAATTCCCTTTCTTATCCATGACAAAGCTGGAGAGATGTATTCAGTCCTGCACATGCTAGGCAAACAGAGCCACGTAGCGGATTAGCAGTGGTAAGAGAAGTACTACCCCAAGGCGTGCACAGGGGACGAGTCAGACATGAGATGTTTGGAGTCTAGAGGCTTCCGCTGATCTGCTCGGAGTTCTTGTCGAGCCAAGGCGATGGTTTCGCCCTGTGGATAAATCACCCCTGTGTGGGAGAAGCCAGATGCACTTCGAGTACCGTCACCAGCACCATGACACCGAGCATCTTGGCTTGCGGTCGGCAGAGATGTGGTCCGTCTTAGGGTCGGTTAGAGTGTGGCTTGGGAGTTGCACAGTTTTGCACCGGCTGTTTGTACGCAAAAGCCCAGCTAAAGACGACCTCCCACCAGTCTAAGGCACAACTCAGGGCACCACTCCTGCCGGCTGCTCCCTGCCGAGTGGTATGCAAGCAGGCATCCCCGCTCCTCGCCACTAAGTGGCCGAGTGGCATGCAAAGGCATTGGGAAGCACCAAGGTGGATCGCCGTGGCTTCGCGTTCCAGCACGGCAAGCTCACGCTCTCCGGTCCTCAGCTGGTCAATCTGAGAGGTGATTCTTTGCAACTGATCCTTGGCTGTATTGCCAGAATGACCCTCGAGGTTTTGTGAGTAGTGGCACGCTGAGATCTCGCCGAATTGAGGAAGGGCATGTCAACTCACGGACTGCATTGGTTTCCGGACTGCTGCTTGTCTGCAGGGACTCTGTTTATGCTCTGACCAAAAGGTCTCAATTAAATCCAGAGGTTACGAGAAGAGCATGCTGGAGCACCTGGTCTCCAGCTGGGGCATCACCGTGTTCAGAGCGGCCATGTACATCGGTGAGGGTGGATATGCCTCGGACAACTCAGCAGGGTGCCAAGCAGTGCCAAGTGCTTGCCAAGGATGAAAGGATAGGAAGAGTTGCTCTTCGGTTGCTTTGGGACTGGGGTCGGAGCATTGCTTAGGTCGCACAGCTGGTGGACGAGATCGTTGCCTGGGGTGAGGAGTTCGGAGTCTACATCATCATTGACTGGCATGCCCGAGACTCGACACAGCTTCCTTCATGTCTGCGGAAGATCGAAGCTTCTGCAGTCTTTTCCGCAGGTCTTGACGCCCGGAGATCCGAACCACTGGCTGACCGGTGCGGGTGCATCTCAAGCAGATGCTGCAGCTTACTGGCGCGAGACAGCCCTGAAGTACAAGAGCAAGACCCACGTTCTTTATGAGATCTGCAACGAGCCCAATGGTGTCGACTGGCCCACCGTCAAGACGTATGCCGACAGCATCATCTCTGTGATCCGCGAGGCCCATCACGATGCTTGTGTCGGTCGGACTCTGCTGCATAATTTTCGTTTGCCGAGGTCGATCCGGAGACAATCATCATCGTTGGCACGCCGACCTGGAGTCAGGCTTAGCTGCCGAGAGTTGCGAAACCTGGCAATGAGCAATGTTGTGTCTCGCAGGATATCGACAAAGCTGCAGCAAACCCCGTCCAGATGCCCTATAATGCCTCCTGACTAACATCGGCAGGCTGAGATGTTGAGTTCTCGCATGTCATGATTGTCTTTTTTTGGAGAGGTGTGCTGTATGTCCGTTCAGGTCATGTATGCCTTCCACTTCTATGCTGGGACGCACAGCTTTCTCCTTCCGCGCTTGCGCCAGTATGCTTCGCAGATTCCCATCTTCGCCACGGATTCTTGGCCAATGTCTTTCTACTAGCAGTATCGGTATTGCAAGTGCACCGTATCCATAAATTTGGTGAATTCGTCCTAGCCGTCCTTCGGTGTGAGCGTCGCGAGCTGTGGATCGCCAAGGAGTGGGGTACCAGTCAGGCGAACGGGGACGGCGGGCCCTACCTGCAGCAAGCCAAGGCCGGAGGCTAAGTGAGAAGGATCTGTTAAGACGCTGTAAGGATTCTGTTTTGCTTTACACATGTAAACTTAAGTGGAGTCGGAGCAGGAGTTCCTCGATCTTTTCGGCAGCGGAGAGCTCGGGGTCACGGTGAGTTGGGCCCAGTGGAGCCTGGCAGACAAGTCGGAGGTCTCGGCGGCTCTGAGCAGTGGAAGCTGTGGATCTGACAGCATCCCAGCTGCGAGTTGAGGTGTTGGCGAGTATCACGTCCTCGCTGCATGCGGGGTTGATGTAGCTGCTGCTTCGACCGGTTAAGGCTGGGACGGCGTGTCCTGCTCGGGCTTCTTTGTCCGATCTTATTTGAGAATGCATGCAGAAGATCCTACCACAACTGGTCCTCCGCCGACCTCCACCGTCACCGCAAAGCCCACCACTCATCCCGTCACAACAACCACCACTCCGATGGGCACAACAACGTCTGCGACTGTGGTCCTAACAACTACCCAGACCCTGGTGGTAACGCTTCTGGGTATGAACAATTATTTGTTTCTTCTGTGGATGCAGGAAATTGGTTCCGATCGCTGCTCTTCTCTGCGACATATCTTAGGATGGGTCCTCCCATTGTGCGGGATATGCCTGCCGAATGTGGCGGGTGGTGCCAGTATAACGACAATGAATGGGCAGCCAAGTGTATGTGGACACTTGCCTTGAACCAGCTGACAATCTGTGACAGAAGAGTGAATGTTGCTGCCAACTCTGTGAAGGTATTTGCATTCCCTGTAGTGTCCGCGCGATACGGTAACTTCCGTAAAGCGAATGCCGCCTGTGAAAGATAAGACTGTAGGATACCCGCATGAGCCATAGGTCATGAATCATCATAAGCCAAGGATTGGTTGCAGCTTGTGCGCAGCATGCGGAAGCGTCACAACGACTCCTGGGGCCACGACGATGACGTCATCATCGACCGTGGTCACCAGCACCGCGAGCACAACCAGGGTTGTCAGCACAAACGAGCCGACGACGACAACGCTGGCAACTACGGCTGCTCCGGTCACAACCACAACCACCACCACGGCCGCAACGACTTCCCCCAGTGGCCCCTGTGCAGCACTGTATGGCCAGTGTGGCGGCAAGAATCACGCTGGACCAACCTGCTGTGAATCTGGATCCACTTGCACTTTCGGCAATGACTACTACTCACAGTGCCTCCCTGGATCCTCCCCTTCTCCAACACCTGCTCCAACACCTGCTCCGACACCTTCCCCCACACCTTCCCCCACACCATCACCTCCCTCTCCTCCCGGTCCCGTGGGCAGCAACCCCTTCGAGGGACACCCCTGGTACCGGAACCCATCGTACAGGGACTTGCTGTCCACGTCGATCAATCTGACGAGTGGTGGGGTGCGGGCGACCTTGGAGTCCATGCAGAACGTGCCCTCGGCCTTCTGGATTGACGTGAAGTCCAAGATCTATAAGGGACAAGGCCACCCGGATCACAGCACGGTGGAAGGGATTCTGGAAGATGCCGCAAGCTGCTCACCTCCTAGCCTTGTGGTGCTCATCGTTTACGACCTTCCCAATAGAGATTGCTTTGCGCTAGCTTCCAATGGAGAGATCTGCTGCCACTATGGTGAGGACAAGGGCCGAACAAAGTGCGACATGTCTACTTCGGGACCGAATGCTGGCTTCTACCGGGAGGTAGCCGGAGCCAACTGCGCAGATGGCCTCGCTGAGTACAAGTCGACTTACATCGACCCTTTTGCAGAGGTCGTCGGACGCTTTGCCGACAGGGTGCCCGTGGTTCTGGTGATTGAACCTGACTCTTTGCCCAACCTGGTCACCAACATGAAGGACAAGAGGCCTGACAACTTCCGTGGCTGTCACGACGAGACGAAGGTGGGGACTGGCTTTGGGGCAATAGTTTCGTTGGGCATTTGTGGTGAGAGATAGACTGTCATGTAGGTGCCCGTCAGGTGGCTTATGAGGAAGGTATCCGCTACGCCGTCGAGAAGCTCTCCGCGACAGGGGCACAGCTGTACGTGGATGCCGGGCACGGGGGTTGGCTGGGATGGGCCAACAGTGCCTCTGCTGGCTAGTGGCTAAGTAGGCAGCACGCACCCATTTCCTTGTGTTTCTCCCTGTTTCAGAGCACCCACGATGCCTCCTGCGAAGGCAACGATGACCAAACCGGAAAGTTCGCCAACATCATCGCCAACATGCAGATTGCTGACAAGGTTCGTGGCTTCGCTACGAACGTTGCAAATTACCAGCCCTTGGGGAGCGTGGTCTGCTCGGAGCCAGGTAAGTGCAAGGGCCAGATGAGCAGCGACCCGTGTTGTGCCGATGACCCTTGCAACCTGCAAAAGGATTGGAACTGGGCGCACAACGAACTGAACTATGTGGATGTCCTGGACTACAAGATGCGAGCCGCTATTCCCGGCTTCACCCCATCCTTCATCATCGACACTGGCCGCAACGGCAAGCCGAACACCCGCAGCGATTGTGGCAACTGGTGCAATGCGAGAGGTGCGGGTATAGGTCGCGTTCCAACGACAGCAACCCCAGATTCCCGAATCGATGCATACTTCTGGCTGAAGACTCCCGGCGAATCTGATGGCTGCACGGAGATTCTTCCAGATGGTACGAATTGCCCTCGGTTTGATGAGATGTGTGCGTCCGTAGACTCGTTGGGCAGCAGGAATGGAGAACCGCGCGCTCCTGAGGCAGGTCTCTGGTACCACTATCAGATCGCGATGCTGGCAGAGAATGCCGACATGGGTGATGCCTCTGCCTTTAGTGTTGGAGGTAGCTGTGGAAGCGTCACAGGTCCCTCCCCTTCTCCAACGCCGCCTCCTCCAACGCCTGCTCCAACGCCTGCCCCAACACCTGCTCCGACACCTTCCCCCACACCTTCCCCCGCACCATCACCGCCCTCTCCTCCCGGGCCCGTGGGCAGCAACCCCTTCGAGGGACACCCCTGGTACGTGAACCCATCGTACAGGGACTTGCTGTCCACGTCGATCAATCTGACGAGTGGTGGGGTGCGGGCGACCTTGGAGTCCATGCAGAACGTGCCCTCGGCCTTCTGGATTGACGTGAAGTCCAAGATCTATAAGGGACAAGGCCACCCGGATCACAGCACGGTGGAAGGGATTCTGGAAGATGCCGCAAGCTGCTCACCTCCTAGCCTTGTGGTGCTCATCGTTTACGACCTTCCCAATAGAGATTGCTTTGCGCTAGCTTCCAATGGAGAGATCTGCTGCCACTATGGTGAGGACAAGGGCCGAACAAAGTGCGACATGTCTACTTCGGGACCGAATGCTGGCTTCTACCGGGAGGTAGCCGGAGCCAACTGCGCAGATGGCCTCGCTGAGTACAAGTCGACTTACATCGACCCTTTTGCAGAGGTCGTCGGACGCTTTGCCGACAGGGTGCCCGTGGTTCTGGTGATTGAACCTGACTCTTTGCCCAACCTGGTCACCAACATGAAGGACAAGAGGCCTGACAACTTCCGTGGCTGTCACGACGAGACGAAGGTGGGGACTGGCTTTGGGGCAATAGTTTCGTTGGGCATTTGTGGTGAGAGATAGACTGTCATGTAGGTGCCCGTCAGGTGGCTTATGAGGAAGGTATCCGCTACGCCGTCGAGAAGCTCTCCGCGACAGGGGCACAGCTGTACGTGGATGCCGGGCACGGGGGTTGGCTGGGATGGGCCAACAGTGCCTCTGCTGGCTAGTGGCTAAGTAGGCAGCACGCACCCATTTCCTTGTGTTTCTCCCTGTTTCAGAGCACCCACGATGCCTCCTGCGAAGGCAACGATGACCAAACCGGAAAGTTCGCCAACATCATCGCCAACATGCAGATTGCTGACAAGGTTCGTGGCTTCGCTACGAACGTTGCAAATTACCAGCCCTTGGGGAGCGTGGTCTGCTCGGAGCCAGGTAAGTGCAAGGGCCAGATGAGCAGCGACCCGTGTTGTGCCGATGACCCTTGCAACCTGCAAAAGGATTGGAACTGGGCGCACAACGAACTGAACTATGTGGATGTCCTGGACTACAAGATGCGAGCCGCTATTCCCGGCTTCACCCCATCCTTCATCATCGACACTGGCCGCAACGGCAAGCCGAACACCCGCAGCGATTGTGGCAACTGGTGCAATGCGAGAGGTGCGGGTATAGGTCGCGTTCCAACGACAGCAACCCCAGATTCCCGAATCGATGCATACTTCTGGCTGAAGACTCCCGGCGAATCTGATGGCTGCACGGAGATTCTTCCAGATGGTACGAATTGCCCTCGGTTTGATGAGATGTGTGCGTCCGTAGACTCGTTGGGCAGCAGGAATGGAGAACCGCGCGCTCCTGAGGCAGGTCTCTGGTACCACTATCAGATCGCGATGCTGGCAGAGAATGCCGACATGGGTGATGCCTCTGCCTTTAGTGTTGCAGGCAGCTGTGGAAGCGTCACAGGCTCTCCGCAAGTGACGATTCTGACCGATGCATCTGTACGAAGTTCGGGGCTAGCGGCTCGACTTGGCTGGCGCACTTCAAGTTCGCATGCTCTGAACCAGGGTGTCACAATGCTGGCGCTGAATACCCGCCATGCACGAATGTTGCTTATAACAGACAACACGACGGAGGGTTTCGAGGGCAAGGACGGCGGTGTGGATCGCGCATGCCGTGGTGGAAGCAGAACCGACAATGCGCCAAGCAACTACGAGATTCACGCTGCGGCCACTTTGGATGAGTGCAAGGCGGTCTGCATGTCAGTCGAGGGATGCAAGGGCATTGAGTACAGCAGTGGCCGGTGTGAAGTCTGGACACGCGCGGGTGGCATCCAAGCTACTATCGAGCTTGCCGGCTTCAGCTGCTACACGTACGGAGAGATGGCAGTGGATGATGGGTTCACTCCTGCCGACGGTGGCGTTGATCGCGCATGCCGAGGTGGAAGCAGAACCGACAATTCTCCCAACAATTACGAAATTCACGCTGCTGGCAGTCTGGACGAATGCAAGGCGATCTGCATATCGATAGAGAGCTGCAAAGGCATTGAGTACAGTCCAGGTCGATGCGAGGTGTGGACACGGCCCGGCGGTATCCAGGCAACCATTGAGCTTGCTGGCTTCAGCTGCCACCTTTACGAAGGAATGGCAGTAAGGGGGGAGTTTTCGCCTGCGGACGGCGGTGTGGATCGCGCATGCCGTGGTGGAAGCAGAACCGACAATGCGCCAAGCAACTACGAGATTCACGCTGCGGCCACTTTGGATGAGTGCAAGGCGGTCTGCATGTCAGTCGAGGGATGCAAGGGCATTGAGTACAGCAGTGGCCGGTGTGAAGTCTGGACACGCGCGGGTGGCATCCAAGCTACTATCGAGCTTGCCGGCTTCAGCTGCTACACGTACAGACCAAACCCTACAGCGATGGCAAAGTGTGTTGAGATGAGTGACATGTCCGCAGCCGTGTCGGTCTCCACGATTCCGCTACCTTCTCCACGGCATAACCACTGCTCCAGCTTCGGCGTTGCATTGTCATGCCGTCATGTGCACTATGCTGCTTCTGCGGGCAAGGATTTGCAGGCCTTGCTTTACAATGATGATTCAGGGAAACCTTACCTGCTGCTGGTGGAGGGAGATACCGTCCTTGCCTCTCAACCACTTGCGACTTCGCCTGGACCCTACCCCGTGATGCTCTGTCCGGCTGTCAGCGGCACCTGAGTCATTTTCCTGTGCCTTGCCTAAGGCCTTTGGAGGTGCGAGGCCTGGACTTCGAACCTTCCGGTGACTATCTCGTGGTTCTCCTCTCCGGTGGCAGTACATATGACAGCCCCAGCTTGTTCAAGTGTCTTGCTGGCAGATCCTCCGATCATAGTTGGTAAGCTTGCAGGGCAGGGCGGGTGAGAGTTTGGGCCCATCCCCCTGTCCAAGGAAATTCTCGGTGCCTGGCCTCCAGGAGGTCTGGAGTGCACAGATTCGCGATCCTCAGGTCGGGCTGGAGAGGCACGGGAAGGGAGCGAGAGTGGGAGGGCCAGAAACATACAGTATGGGACGGAATGAGGTGGACTCCGGACGCGGCCCAGTCCCTCGCCGTGTCTTCCAGCCGCTACATCCAGCATTCGGCCGGTGAGTGCAGGCGGGAAAAAGAGTCAGAGTCAGTGTTGGTGCACACTTCCTGCATGTGCTCAGGTCGGGGTGGTGCTCTGGACATCAAGGCTGCAAAATGCACAGTCCCTCAAGTGCATGCACACTCTTCGTTCTACAGACAGATTTGCCGCTAGGTGGGATGACAGTGGTCGTTGATGCGAGTGGCCAGCAGCGCTCATATTCTGGCGATGCCTGGACCTCGCATTCGTGCAAGCAGATGGCAGCCTACAGCGCCACGCGCTCAGCAATCCGCTCAGCTCAACAGCGCGATGGCAGCGCCGGACAGCCCAAGCCTGGATGAGGCCGTCTCCGACACGTTCCTGCTTGCAACTGCCGGGGATGCGTATCCCGACAAGCGACAGCCTCAGCTTGTCGGACGGGGGTAAAGAGCGGCACAAATGCCACCGAGTGATCAGGTTGGTCTTCTCAACCCTCAAGGACTTGTAGCAGGGTCTGGAAGAGCCTAGCATGTGCTGCATCCTTTGGGTAGCCTCGCAGCCTCGATGAGGACGACGCCTTGTCGCAGACAGCCAGCTTCCAGAGCTGGGGTGACGGGGCAGGCTCCCAGGGAGTCAGCGGGGGCGCGATCAAGGCGAGCTTGCGTCCTCCCCTCCCGTGGCAGTTGCCAGTGCCAGTTCTTGCATCGAGCTGAGTCATGGAGAGGCCGATCTGCTCGGTGGATTTGGAGCTGTCTGGACATACGGAGAGAAGGGCAGCTCGCATTTGTTAGGCAGACTTTCGCCACCACTGTTCACAGAGTGTCTGTTCAGCTGCCGAGGTGGACTTTCCGATAAGCTCTACTTCGCCACCTTCTCTGCCAACGGAAGTGTCTTGGCTCTGGCTCTGTGTTGCTATCGGAGGGGCTATCGGGTGCCCAAACTGCCGTGGTTTGTCAAGGTTTTCTGACTGGTCCTCGGCGCCTTTTTGACGACTCTGGTTCGGAGATCGGGGGCAACCTGGTACCACTCGCAGATGGCAACTGGCTCGTGGCGTACACCAAGTCAGACTCGGATGTCATCTCTGACTACTTGAGGACTTTCTTGGCTTGAAAGCAGTACTAACCCAAATCACCAGAAGCATTCCCTGGACCTGCGGTCCGATGACAAAAAAGCTCCTCAACCCTGAACGCTAGACCCTCCGCTCGAAGTATTAGGCACAGTGTACCTTGGAGACTTCTGAAGTCGGGATCAGAGGGCCCCCTGGTGGCTTCCAGGACTCTCTGGGATGACTGGCACCTGCCGGAGGATCCCCTCTATGTGTGTATGGAGAGATCTTATCTTGTGCGGTGGGCCGCGACTTCTTCCGATGACCTAGCCGGTGCTGAAACTGCTAACTAAGCCAATCTTGGACAGGCAGTAGAAAACGATGATGATCAAAAATGATCGTGGTCGTGACGATAACGGTCTTTGTAAGGGGCTTGACATAGCCTTGGCTCATGCTCTGGCCTTGGCCCTGTGAAGTTTGGGCTTTGTGCAAGACCACCTCACCATGATTCATGGCTGCGATGCGGTGATGCGAAGGGTTTTGTCTCTTGTCATCAAGCGGAGTCGAGCGGCAGCAGGACCTGCGACTGGAAGGAGGTCGTTTGGCCGTGGTAAGTGGCGAGGGACTTGTCCTCAAGGACCCCCTTCCAGCCTACCAACAGCCCATATGCGACATACCGGTGTGCTGCCCTGAACCCAGCGCTCCAAACCCATCGCAGGACGGCATCAAGCTGAGTCCAGAGGCCAGCATCCCCATTGAGATCAATCACATGGTGGCGCGACCGGACGGTTTCAGTTCCAGCCCCAGCAGCTTTGAGGGGCCAAGTGTCCTTGTAGATGGATCTGACGAATCTTGGTTGTAATTTTGGACGGGTATCCCAAAAAGCGCTCGGGGAAAAGTAGGCGCCGGCTGGCAGATAGCAGTAGCAGCACTGGAGACGCTTGTTGCACAGCCCGCGCAGGGCGAGGATGTTCTTGGGTTGAGAAGAGACATGGGATGCTTTCTGTGAACTTCTGTCCGTGAATGCCAAGACTTCGTTGACGTTTGGGCAGCCGTGGTTTACGGGGTCATGTTTTCTTCTGCTGTTGTCTTTAACTGGCTAGTCAGACATCTTTCAAACTAACACAACTGTATTTTGAAGCTTTATCACATCTTGCAGAACCCGCCCAAAGACTGGCATCACTACTGCTGATGCAGTGAAGTATTGTCATACCAGACACTTACTGAGGCCTGCTGTACTGTCACAGAAAACATGGCCCCCCTGCAACAGCTTCATGTGTGCCGCGGTGTCTCTTTAGCCTTCAGCCTTGAAGTATACACGATGAGTGAGAAGCGAAGATGTCAGAAGTCCCAGCCCTTCGAAAGACCACATCGTTTGATAGTGGGATATTTCGTTCGTGAACAGGAGCCACAAGTGAAGAGTAACCTACAGAGCTGCTCGGTAACGGCTTCAACCCTTCCAAACAGTGCACTTCGGTTCCGAGGTTGGGCCTCAGTGGATGCAAGTGGCCAGACTTTGCGCATCGCTCACCTCAAGTGCTCTTAGGCGCCAGCTGCTTTTCGAAGTCGGTTTAGCTCCGTCTCGGGGGCGATGGAGGGAGTTGGGGGTGGCGCATAGCAGCGTGGCAAACAGGCCAGATCTAGGCCTTGGGGGCTCCCTGGCACTGTAGAAGACATTCAGGCTGGAAGTCAATCGCTACGTAGGGCGCTCGTTTGGATTGCACACGACACTTGTCAGGTGGGCGCAAGGACGGATGGCTCAGACCTCGATGTTTAGTTGTTTAGGTGTATAGCCTGGCAAAGCTGCAGAACAGCAGCATTGCCAGAGGCAAAATTCAATCACAATTCAACCCGTGTCAGCGGGAGAGAGCCAGAAGAAAGATAAGTCACAAATGAAAAAGCAGTCGTCAATACTTCTGTAATGAGCTTTCTCTAGTTACACTCGGTTTTGTACTGGCGGCTTGCGAGAGCGCCTTCCTACAGAGGTACAGCTCTGCGCTTTTGCAAACCGGCAGCCTGTGCATGAAGTCGAGTGCACTGCGGAGCAGAGGTGCGCAAGATATCCTGAAACTAGGCAGGAGTTGCAACTCGAGATTCGCAGATGCACTCGGCCGTACGGTGCAGCTCACAAAGGCTGCGCTACAGTATAGTTTTGGTATCCCAGCGACAGCCACTGGCCTGAATGTCAGCCGTGGCCAAAGATTCGCTTCTCCGTGCTGGCTAGTAGTGTCAGCTCGCGGAGCTTTAGATTTGCAATGATTGCGGTCTGTCTTTGTGTTTGGTCCGGACTATGTTTCGAAGGGCTCGGAGCTCGCGAAAGGGCCATGTAAAGAGCGAGTCCAAAAGGGAAGTGGTTCGAGGTACGTATTCAAAGCCCAATCTGCGGATCCCCCTCGACAAGTCAAAGCCCAGCTGCATGTCCAGGCCGAAGGAGGCGGTGGTCAAGAAGCCCGCCGTCTCTCGCAAGAGGCTGTCCAAGCGAAACTTCGAGAAGTGTAGACATGTCCGCGGGATGAAGGGTTTAGGGTCTGTGAGTCTATGGTGTTTAAGACTGCGTGGCAGTGAGAAATTAGCAGCATGCTGAATCTCCTGCGACTTGATGTGCAGTGTCGGAAGTCACAAGCCTCGGGCGGCGTTGATAGCGATGGTTCACGTGGTCTGGCAAGTCCGGGACGTATGCTCCGCGAGACGCCTGCGGAATGGAAGTACGCCTGGGACCTCGGCAGTGCCTGCCCTGATTGGGTGGCCTCGAAGATTGGATGCTTCGGAAAGATCGACGTAGTAAACAGCAGGGAGGAGGTTTGACCAGGCCAAGCAACACTCAAAGACAAACTTCGCCAAGCATGAGGTGGACTTCGACACGCGAACTCCGATCTGTAAGCAAGTAGCTTCGGAATTGATATATCAAGAGGCCCGCAGGTCGTGATTGGACAAGCCCCAACGAAACCTTGCGAGCATACCAGTGCCTTGCCATCTGGAATCCTTCTGGAACAGCAGGACGCTCTAAGAACCGCGTGATCTTCGCAAAAGCATGTGACAGACTTCAGCAGAGCATGTGACGTTCTCGCCATGCGTAGGACTCACAAACCTCAGCCGGCTTCTGCATTGGGCAGGCAACTCCAGATGCTCAGCCGGGTGAAGTCGCCGCAGCCAAGCCTGGTGAGGTCAAGGCTGGCATCGTTCATGTCTCTCATGTCTCGGTGATTGGATCTGATTGCCGAAGTTCTCTGTAGCTTGACAGTCTTGTTGCAATCCTCTGGGCTCTGTTACCGCAAGCTTGGCACTGCCTTCGTTTGCAGTGCCACCGCGTGCTGGTGGACTTCGTTCCCCACAGCCGGGACTACGGTGAGATGCCCATCTCAGCAGGCGAAGAGGCGCGCACTTGCAGACTCTTTGATGCTTCACTGCCGGACGTCATGTGCAGTGTGCGTGAGGTCACAATTCGTTACCCACCTTCCGAGGACGGGTTTCATCCGACATGATGGTAAAGGACCCTGACTGTCAGTGGCTCGCCGCCCCCCAAGGACTGGATTTTTGGTTGGAAAGACTGGCCGGAGCACGATGAGGCCGCCCGAAAAAAGTGCCCGCTGCCTTGAGGAAGCTAGAGGTAGGCCTGAGGCCCGAAAGCAATCTGATTAAGCCGGGTATTGGTGCCCCACTGGCAGGGATGGATTCCGGCACAGTGCCTGGGCATCGGCGCGCCTGACAGACTTAAGGGATGCCCAGAAGAGATAGAGGGGGCAGGTGGTCACCTGCATTGAAAATGGATACTATTCTTGTTGTTTCTTCTCGTTATTCTGCTCCTTGTTGTTGTGAGGGCTTGGGGCTGGTAGCTGGGGCTCGGGGTGAAGGCCCCGGGGATTCACGGATGGTCAGCACGCTTCGGGAATTATTTCTTTAAGGGGTTCGGATCTGCGGGGAGGATCGCTGCGTCTTCTCTTGCCTGCTAGGCATCAGCCTGGACGAAGATGATGTACAGGCAGAGTCGTCCATTTTGGGCCGGTTCAGGCTTGCGGTCCGGGTTGCGGTGCAGGCGGCTGAAGACAGACGCTCCGGTTCGCTCGGGCCTCAGAGAGAGCAGCTCATATGGGTGCGGCATCTGCGGCCTCTAGCAGGTCACAGCCAAGCAGCGCAATGCCAACGCTGCCAAACGAGGACCGACCTGCGCAGTTCGTGATGTGTCGGGCCTCGTTTGGGAGCTTCGGACTGACTGCTTACGCTGGCTGCTGGAATGGCAGGCGGGCAAGAAGCATGGTCGCGACGTCTTCGTGCGCACCTCAGCCATGAACCCGCAAGCTTGGGAGACTGGGAGCTGGTATGAGCTGGTTCCGAACAATAGCGGAGGTCTATGCTGATGGCGCCGTGTTCAAAGCCGATTGGCAGGAGGATGCTCTAGATGGAGTCTTGTGCCCAGGTTGAGTTTCCTTTGCTCCAAGGCTCGTATTCTCAAGCTACTCATTCTTTTCTATCTCACCTCTCTCCTCTATCCTCCACGTTTTCTGTCGCTCTCTCTGTCTGTCTTCCTCTCTCTCTCTCTTGCCATCTCTCCGTTGGTTCCGCTCTTTTCCCTCGCTCCGTGCAATACAAATCCGAACTTTGAGGTGTCCGTCCAGAACATGGCGCCCAGCTGGCATCCCAGCCACTGGAAAAGCCACATGATTTGACCAGCTTTGCAACTCTCTCAACTGTACCCGTGCAGTGCCGTACAAAGGTTCCGGGAAAAGCCCAGTCGAGGAAGCCAAGGAGAAGGAGAAGGCAGACGCCAAGCCTGAGCCCCCAGACCCGCAGTGCGCCTGCTCATGGGATTCCTCGACAGGAGGATGCAGAGCCGGCGGCTCAGACTCCCTGACACGCCTTCGCCTGGCAGCTCTCTGTCCCTCTGCCTTCCTCTCTCTCAGAACTCCCTCCGCCACTCTTACGGCGTCGGCGTTGTCTTGTGAGCTGATGGCGCCTCCCTCGCCAAAAGGAAATGGCATCAGCATGGCAACTGGTGGAGCAAACAGCGACATCTGAAGACCGCTCAGGCTGGTTCTTTCAGTGATTCAGCATAAAGGAGCCAAACTCTTGGAGTGAATTGGCAATGTTGGCGAGGATTGTCGGGTGGAGGGGTGTAGGGGGCTTGAACACGAAGTGAGTGTTCTGACAAAGCGAGGACCGGGCACTCATTTCAGGCTCAGAAGTGAACCATTCAAGAACAGCCAAGCTGCCTTCTCCGGTGCGTAGTGCGATATTACACGTCGAGGAAACCAACGATGCTCCACGGCGGCCGGCCAATACCGATCAGACGCGTTCTCAGACGGACGATCCGCTCCGAAGCCGCTGCCTCTTGTAGACTTTGTGCATCTTTGTGCCCTGGCTGAGTCACTCAGGTTCCAAGCTCGCATAGCGGCACGTGCATTTGCGGCAGCGACTGCCAATCAGTCAAAGTCCTAATCCAAATGTCACGTCCCAGCTGACAGCAGTCACAGCATACTATCACAAGGACTTCAGCCGAATCCCCCTCTGAAGGCTTGAAGGCCGACAGCTCATCGTCCAGAGCCCCCCAGGGATGTGTGCGGGTACTCGCTCCAAGCCCGCGAGCGCGCTTGGTAGTGCTTCCACCCGAGACTCGACGCCTTATGCCCTGGAATCCGACAAAACGACACGCCGGGATGTTGCACTGAAAGCCTTGAGAAGTTCAGGAGTTTAGAGCTCAATCTGAGGTTCTAGAGCTTGACTCCTGGGATCTAGGAGTTTCAACTGGAAGGGTGAGCAATTTTGGGGCTTTGTAGTTTCTGGTTTACAGTTCCGGATTGAGGCTTGAGAGTCTATGGTTGAGGCAGTCAGTTTGGGATTTAGGGCCTTAGAGTTTAGGGTTTATTGGTTTAGAATTTAGGGTTTCGGCGGTTCAGGCTTTTGGATCCATTTACTGGCTTGGTCAATTTAGGATCTGAATTCAGGGTTCCGGGTTTAGAGTTTAGGACTTGGGCAGCCTAGGAATTACACTTCTCGCTCTTCGATATTAAAATATGTCACAGATATGAAGATACAGGTCGTCTGAGCTTGGGTTTGGGCGGCATAGGCTTTAGAGTTATCCAGAGTCGCGGGCTTTCGTTTTATTTTGGGTTTGATTTTCGGATCTTCGATATTCAGTGTTTGGAGTTAAGAGTTGTGGGGTTTGGCCGGTTGAGAGTTCACGGATCAGGATCTGAAGCTGTTGCTAGTTTCAGCGCCTGGAGTGTAGCGATAGCAGTGTTCAGCACAGGTTGTAAAGCCGACTAGAGTTCAACCATTTCGGGATTTGGGGTTCATGATGTCATCGGGTCTAGGCAGCTCCGGGTTTACACTTTGGGCTTTCAATGTTTAGCCAGCTTAGGGTGGAGAGTTTAGGGTTGGAGTTTAGGCTTTGCGATTAACGACACTTTCTTACTCCTACTCCGATGCCTATGCCAAGAAACCCATTTCAAGAAGAATAAATGTCTGTCACCACCCGTAGGTGTGTAGTTTAGTCTGTTCAAGTTTCAGCCAGTTCAAGATCTACCCTTAAGGGTTGAGGGTTTGGTTTCGACTGGGGCATTCTGGGATTCAGTGTCAGTGTAAGGTATAGTTTAGAGTTTCGGCCTCTAAACCTGGGCAGTTTTAAACTCCAGAGTTTAGGGGTTCTAACATCGGGGTGTGCGGTTTAATCTGCTTAGGGTTTAGCAATTAGGGTTTAGAGTTTATGGCTGAAGGCTTGGAGTCGCGGGTTGAGCAGTTCAGGGTTTAGAGTTTGGGATCTAGGATGTAGGGTGTTGTGGAGAAGACATAGGGTTCGGATGTCTGAGGCACCGGGCACCCAACATCCAATAACTGTAGATGATGTCAACTGTCTGTAGCCTATATCAATCTGTTTCATTTCACACACGTGAGTATCTTATTGCATAAGAATGGTCAAGGGATCCCCACTTCAGGATCCATCGGCTAAGACGACATGTGGGCAGGCCTTGAAGTTGCATGTGCGCTGTGGGAAAAACGCGGGCTCAATGTTTTTGGATCAAGGAGGAACTCGTCCCCGCTTTCGCAGCCTGCTATTCAGCGTCTTGTGCCACCCTTTTCCTTTGAAGCACGCGCTGCCACGTTTCAAGTTGTGAAGTGAAGCTTGGAAGCGGGATGAGCCTTGCAAAAGCACCCTTCTGTTGCCGCCAGGCCATGGGCAAGGGAACGTTCACGATCGACAAGTCCCTGGAGGCATCAGCTCCCGACAATTTTGTTCGGGCTTCTTACTCCATTGCCACCGTTCTCGTCTCTGTGCCTCCACTGCGGACAGGCCAACATGCATCAGTACCAGATCGTCGGCCGCGCCGCTCCCACCCCGAAGAACCCAACGCCGAAGATTTACCGCATGAGGACCCAGAGCGATAGGGGGCGGGGGTTCAGTGGTCTGTGGAACGTGAGATTGCCAGGATTTTCGCTCGTAACGTGGTGCTGGCAAAGTCCCGCTTCTGGTACTTCATGAAGAGGCTCAACAAGGCCAGATGCACTGGTGGGGTTAGGTCTCAAAGCCAGTTTAGATGCAGTGTCGGAAGCTGCCGCGAGGCCAAGAAGAGTGGCGGCGAGCTGCTGTCTGTGAACGAGCTGCACGACACTTCTCCCACTAAGGCTTGGACTTGGCACTGTGCAGCTAACGTGGGAGTGTGGAAAGTTCAATTGTGCAGGTGAAGAACTACGGCATCTGGCTGCGCTATGACAGCCGCACCAACACCCACAACATGTACAAGGCAGGTACAAGGCCAGCAGACAGATGAAGACCTCTGGGTGCCGGCATTGAGGAGTTCCGCAATGTGAACATCAACGGTGCCGTCGGACAGCTGTGCGCCCATTTGTTGCTAGGTGTGCTAGATCTCCAAAAGCTCTCCGTTGAGTCCAGGCAGCCATCTTGTGGCAAAAGGCCATGTCCACACGGCAGGTATCAGGAGATGGCCGGCCGACACCGGGCTGACCCTGGATCCATTCAGATCATCCATGCAGGTGCCCCAGGTGAGCTCTTTCCGGCCGAGTTCTTCGAGTCCTCAAATTCAAAACGTGGTGGCTTACCGCTGCGCTTGAGGCCACCACCATCCCCGATGACAAGTGCCGCCGTGAGCATGTGCTGGACTGCGGACGTGTGCATGAATTGGTGCAGTCAAGACAGCGTGAGGGAAGCGTTTCGACTTGGCCCCATGTTTGCATCAGGAGATGCACGACCGTAAGCTCAAGTTCCCGGTGATCAGGACATGGTGTTGGGCTCGACCAAGCGAGCATGTGAAGCTCCCTTGCTTTTCGTGCCTTCTCATCCTGCCCCACTGCTTCGTCCGAGCCAGAACGGTGTCCTGGTTGCCATCGCGTGCTTCTGCATCTCGGTCCCCCAGGGTAAGCTGTGCACTTTCGGTCATCCATTTTGCATCAACCATTCTGTCGTTAATCTAGAGCGATGCTCAGTGGACTTCGGGGCAAGGCGCGTCATGCTCTGCCAGAGCAGTGACGGTGCCAAGATGATGTGCCAAGATGATAGCCATGATCACTGCAGCAAAAAGTCGTGATAGGCATGCCACAAGGTGCACGCACTCTTTCATTGTAACCAGCTACGGGGCACTGCTCAAATATCCCGCGGTTGCATGGGGGAAGCGAAATGAGTCGTAACGTGCGGTTAGATGTAGGAAGGGCTTGCCCACCGTTTTTGTTATGACTTCGGTGTTTACCTGTACCACCGTTTGAGACCAGTACGGTTTGGCTTCATTCCGCTACGATCAAACTCGCGAGGAAGATCCCTCACGCAGCCAAGAAGCTTCGCACTACCTTCAAGGTCATGCGAGGGATCAGGGAACGCCCGTATGTTCTTTCTTGTGCCGGGTGCAGATCTTGGCCTCCTGTAGTAATCGGCTTTTGCACAGGCCAAGCGCCCTCAGACCTTCGTGAAGTGAGACGGCAACCTTCTGGTCGACTGATGCCGTGCAGATGCAGCCTGGAGCGGGAAAAGTAGCCCTCAGAGAATGTATGGAATAGAAATTGTCGCCCAGCACCAAGAATTCCAAATCCGGCTGGTGATTGTGGACATTTCAAGCTTGCGAAGCGGAGAGGGTTTCAGGATGCACCTATACTCCAGATTGTTGTCGATGTCTAGCTTGGACCTAGCTTAGAGATTGCACGACAGCACACATTTGAGCCATTC